ACTCTAGGTACAGATGGTCAATCACGAAAGCCGGCCTTACACCCACAAAAGTATACGCCATTCTAAACTTGCCCTCCACCATTTTAGTGCAGTCAACAACACACATTTGTCCCAGACACATAAATCATTTGTTACACAAGATGTGCAGCTCACACAGTATTGTGATCTCTTGCAGTCATTCGAATTTCCTTTTCAAATTGTAATTGCTTGCTTGCTTTTTAAAAGAAAAAAAATTTCATGTTCAACCAGCATCCCTGAATGGGGAGCTTTAGGTTATAATTGTGACTAGGTCATGTGTGCCATATAAAATGGCTTAGCATTGCTCGCCACCAAGTAGCCCTGAAAAGGATTCCTGCAGAGTTGATGCAATAAAGGGAAACAAACCTAAATGCTGTGTCTAGTGGTGATGAAGTCATCTACCTACCGGCCAGTCAATGGGTGACCCCGGTCACTGATGTCAAATTGTACTGAACAAATAATATTTGCTTCTTCTCCAGCTGACCCTCCAAGAAAGCGTGTAGATGCTGTACAATTTAGTGGACAGGCAAGGTATGAGGATTTACTTTTGTTTGTCTTATTTGTTCATGAGCTGCTGAATCTGGCACAGAGAGAAGAAACATAGTGTCAGTTTAGTGTTTTTTTTCATGTACATGCATACATCTTTTTTTTTTCCATGGCTATCTGGCTTTCGGGTTGACTCCAGTGCTTTTTAATTAAGGTGCTATAAATATTATGTTGGAATGTTACTGCTGATCGGATCTTCTTCTTCTTCTACTTCTTCTTCCTATATTCCTATTCTTCTTCTGCAATTAAAGAGCGGTATGCATACTGTGTTATGGTTTACAGCCAGGCTGCAATATCTACTCATTATACCCTAATATTCTATTTGGTTTGGAACAGGGTCCTGGAGATTTACATTCCAAAATGTGAGACAATAGAACACCTGTGAAAGTTATCTGCAAGTTCATGTCCGAGTATAAGTATGGGAATACAGCCTAGCATATTCCTTAAATATCTGGGGGGAAATGGGGGGGAGGGGGGTGGGGGGGGGGGGGGGGGGGGGGGGGGGGGGGGGGGGGGGGTGAGCAAAGGTTTCATTTATATGTTTCTTTAAAAAAATTGTAATAATCAGTTTTCTTTAGGAAATGCATGTTTGGGGTACCATAAATAATTGAAGTACTTATTTTCATGATATTTTTTTAAATACATTAAAAATACACGTTTATTTTGTGTATCACTGAAATTTAATGTTTCCGCCATGTTAATTCTGGGGTGCCACTGAGGGGGAAACAGAATGGGATCACTACCCCCCCCCCCCCCCCTTTTCCAACAGGCATATCGTAAGAGTTGACAAATTAGGGATGTTTCCTTCTAAGCTTGAGTACATCTGCCTGAGAGTGAAGGAACCAAGAGTCTGCATTAAAAAAGGCAGATCTGTAAAATGGATGTGCATGCACAACTCGGGATCTGGAACAAAACAAAAGTCCAGAAGTGGATGAAAAACCATAACTTTTCACCAGGGTTTACAGCCAGAGAACGACCAAGAATAAAAAGAAGAAATTGAATTTAAACTTTTGTATAAATTACTGCAACATTTTATTTATGCCAATTTAATTGGAAGTCTTGTGTGTACAGTTGAGTGAGCAGCTGGGTGTATGTGAGTGAGTCAGTCACAAATCTATCACTAACAGGGAGATATGGAATATTAAATGCTGTTAACAGAAACAAATTTCAGTATAGGAACAAGTTGCAACTGGAAAAAATGTCACAGAACTACTGAGATATCACACACACACACAAAGGAATATTTAACTTTAAAATGTCCCTATTATTACTAGAATGGAAAAACAAAAATCTATCCTACTGTTCAAAAACTAAAAATATTATTTCTTTTAGTTTATTGCTATATAATATCTGTTTTCTAAAAACAAACATTAAATTATTTTCGTAACCCAGAACAAGATACTAAAAAACTACTACTAATCTGCTAAAAAAAGTTTATGCATGATCCTTATGCATGATACCAGCAGATACTTTTCATAAAATATTTCATGCAACCTTTCTAAAACTACTAATGAATGGACAGGACTGTAATTTTTTTTAACTGGAATGAAAAAGATTGTATCTCAAGAGTTTATTTCAGTATTTGCTTCTAGAGTATGTTTAAAATTTATTTGAGCATGACCTTAGATATGTGTCGGTGTCTGGCTTGGGGGTTGAAAGCACAGTTTGTAATTCTGAGATACCCATTCAGTTAAGCTGAGAAGGATTTGGCATGAGACCACTTTGCATCTAACTACTGAGCATAACATTGACTAATAACATCGCAAACAGCCAACAAATGCTGGGGTTGGTTCTGCAATGTCCTGTAAAGGATACACAACTAACATTTTTATGTTTGCATTTCTGCAAATTTTAACCCCATTTTTTATGAACATTTAATGCACTCAGAAGCTTAAAATGGACAAATAAAGTATGAGTGGATACCAGACATACTGGATGCCTGAAATGGGTGCCAGGTAGAGGCAAGTAAAGGCATATCTATCTATCTATTCTAGAAATTAAACGAGACCATGTTTAACCTGCTGTTGGCAATGATAACTCATAACGTGCTGTTGGCAGCCAAAGCTGCCACCAGTCTCTGGTTACATTTATAGTTTGGTTTATTTGCGCCACTTTTGTGGCTGTGGTTATGTTATGTGTGCCAACTCTCTGGCTTTGTGTCCCTATCCATATTGGTACAATAATTTACTAATATATTTATTCCTTAGTTTTGTGCATATTAAACTTGCTTTTATATTTTAGTCTTTCTTTCACTGTCTTTCTCTCTTTTTCTCAGTTTTGCAATTTCTCCATTTCATTGTCTTTGTCTCTATTTATTTTTTATTTTTTTATTTTACTCTCCCTCTTTTCATTTGCCTCTATCTCTGCTTTTTTTTTTTTTTTTTTTGTCTAGTTATGTTTTGTCTCCTACTCTTCCTCATCCCTCTCTCTCCCTCTTTCTGTCTCTCTCTCCCTCTTTCTGTGTCTGCCTTTCTCTCTCTCTCTCTCTCTCTTTCTTTCTTTCTCTTCTTCTTTCTCTTTTCCCCTTACACTCCCTCCCTCTTTGTCTACTTTTATCTTGCTCTCTCCCTCTTTCTTCCTCTCTCACTTTCTGTCTCTGGCTCTTTCTCTGTGTTTTTTCCTTTCCCTATTTCTCCCTATTCCTCTCTCTCATTTCCCCTTCACTTTCTTTATTTCTATCCTGTCACAAAATATTTGACTGCATGCTACTGCATGGAATGCCATCCTTTCTCACAGACTCTCATTAGGCAACATTAGTGAAGGTTCCCCTGTTGCATCTCGCCGGGCCCTCAAAGTTCAGCAAGTGTAAGTATACTAACAGTCTTTTCTGCATGCATTAATAATTTGTGCTGCTGACCACATTCTAAAAAAATAACTATGCAACATCTGCAAGGATTATGTCCTGCATGCCTTGTTTTAACTCTGGTCTCATTCTGTGTTTAATTCTTTCAGTCTAAACACAAAATGGTGATGTACTCTTTACCCTATATCCAAAACAGTGTGCCATCTTTTATTTGGCATTTAATAGGAGCCGCTAAAATATCTGGTTGACCAATGGAAAAATTTCCATACTGTTTATATTCTGAGTGTATTAATTTATTTTCCTAGGATCATTTAAGTGCTTCTCACCTTCCTAATGCCAAGACCCTTTAATACAGTTCCCGGTATTGTGGTGAACCTCAAAACATACAATTCTTTTTAGTTGCTACTTCATAACTTCAGTAAATATACGTTTCTTAATGGTCTTAGGTGACATATGTGTCCCAAAGGGGTCGCGACCTACATGTTGAGAATCACTGATTTAAAGAAATAAGAAGATTTTATACAAACTCTGGGCACATGGATAACATCAGATGGAAGATGCATAACTGAGATAAGAAACAGAATAGGACAGGCAAAAACTGCATTTTATAAAATGAAAAACATCTTGTGCAATATATCCTTGTCATCGAGAGTTAGAAAAAGAATTCTTGCTTGCTACATACATCCAGTTTTAACATATGGCTGTGAATCCTGGACAATAGGTAGGCAGGCCAAACAATTCCTGGAGGCCTCGGAGATGTGGTTTTACAGAAGAATGCTTAGAATACCTTGGACAGCCAAAAAGAGCAACCAAGAGGTTTTGAAAGAGGCTGGAGCCCAAAGACAACTTATCACAGACATCAGAAGGAGACAGTCATCATTTTTCGGCCATGTTATGAGAAGAGGGAAAATAGAACATGTTGTGACCACTGGAAAGATATGTGGAAGGAGAGATAGAGGTAGACAACGAGAGAAGATGCTTGACAGTCTCGTTGCATGGCATGGAGGTGTGTCAGCACACGAAGTGATACATGCTGCAGGAGATCGCAGTTATGGAGAGGTATGATCGCCCACGCCAGTCGGCAAGGCACCTGATGATGATGATACAAACTCTTTGGGATTTTAAAAATTTAGCATACATAATCTTTTCAAAGAAATGTTGTAAACTGTCTTTCAAACAATTTGTCAAAGATTGTTCCTTATATTCAGGTCAAGTCTTTAAATTCCCTTAATCACATTCTTAAATGGAAGTAAGCATACTTTTCATACCACTTTCAGCTGCCAGCTGTTTGGTTTGATTTGGAATTATTTGGTTTGATTCTGACAATGTTATGAATATCATCTGTTCACATATTAATTCACATAAAATTGCATAATAAGGCCACAAGAAGGCAACAGTTGGTAGGGTTTGTTGTTTTTTTTTTCTTTAACATTTTCCTGCTTATATTTGTATCCATTACAGTATTTAACATTTAAAATTAACAAAACAATTACATTACATGTGCATCTATAGTCTTTTATCAGACATCAGCTTAGTAATATTAAATATCTTTTAATATGATGTGTGTATACATTAGGGTTGATGTATTATTTTATTTTTATTTCTCTTGTTTGACTGTTTTATTTCTCGTCAGTAGAAAGGCAAGTCTGAGTGGCAGTCCCAGCACTTCGCCGCTGTCAAGTCCAAAGCTGCCACGAGCTGGGCGGTCGACACCTCACAGTCCTTCGGCAACGCCTCCTGGATCACCATCCATACAGACCACGCCATGGAAGTCCCGCCTGCACACAATCAAGAACAGCTTCTTAGGCTCCCCTAGATTCCACCGGCGGAAAATGCAAGGTGAGGAGAGGGGGAGGGAAGGATGGAAGGACCGAGAAGAAGGCGGAGCGACAGCCTCTAGAGGTATTAATATAAGCGGTGTAGGTGATAGTCACACCACACTTTGTGAACATATCACAAATTTACTATCTCCAAACAATGGTCATTGCTGTAATCATTTGTTTTCCAATGATCATAACCATTGTCATAACCAGTGCATACATTGTAACCCTGCGGTTAGTGCTGGTTATTTTAACAATAATTCTGGCAACAATGGTAATTCTAGTAATGTATATGGCCCACTAGATTACAAAGATCTCGTGGTGGCCAAAAATGGGTATGGTACTGTTTCCAGACCAGGTCCTCAGGGAGGAAATGTAAGGCCAGATAACATTCGGGATGTTCACAATGTGGTTACAAGAATGCATATCAACGGCAGAGATTATTTGTCTCCGCCAGCATCACCAAACCTAACTCGTCGCATAAATCCAGCACATCTCAGAGACAGAGAAGATGCAGCAGCACCAGTTTTTCCATATTTGAACATACCAACATCTCCACCACCGTCCAAGTTAACATCATCATCAGGGACTACAACAGCAGCAGCAACTTCCTGTCGGGGGAGTGATTATACACATGCAGCAAACAGCTCTCCAACAGCTTTAAGAGACAGGGATTTCATTGGCATCAGAACCAGCAGTCATGGTTCCAACAATGTCAGCAACAACATCTTAAGTACCAACACAGTAGCAGGGAAAGAGAGGGAGTACCTCTCAATGAGAAACAGTATTCTAGGCTCTCCGAGATTTCACCGGAGGAACATGCCAGGTGAGCGCTGGGGGGTTTTGCATGCAAGCCTGCAACCTATCTCCTAGCAACAAGGGGGCATAAATACATGCATGGAGGTGGCAAGCAGTTAATAGATGAAAAAATTTACAAAGGGCCCGTTTCATTTTTTTCCTTCTTATTACAGTTTTATTACACTAATATCCCATCTAAAAATTACTGCATGAGGCGTAACAATACAGCTATATATCACTTTATAAGTGACTTATTTAATATGTTAAGAGTAGCAAATTTTACCCACAATCTTTGCATGGCTAGCATAAATTTGCCACTTCAATACTATTTTACAGATTTTAAAAAATAACTTTTATACAATTAATCATAAAATATTGTTTTACTAATATATTTTCATTTAGTTTCTACTTACACGTATCAACCATTACATTGTATGTTTTTTTTAAGAGTTTTTAGGTGTCTGTTTATCATAAAATAAAAAGACAAAAATGCCAATAAATTATGTAACTACTAACATAGAAGAGCTTGATGCTGCCGTAGAATAAAACATTAATTATAGCATAAAATGACAGACAAATTATAGACCGCAGGCCTGTTTAGTTAGATATTATAGCATAACATTAGCTACCCTTTTATTTCATTTGGAATGCAGGCTGATTTATGATTCCATTGATTTATATTCTGTTATCATCATTTTAGATCAGCTTATTGAGTTCTAGTTTGGCTTTATCTTAAGTCCAGTTTAGGCCTTCTGCTTATGTTATTTAACTGAAGTCCGTTTAGGTGTTAAAAGTTAATTTTTTGCAGTCTGTTATGTTAGGAGCAATGGTGGCTAAGTGGTTAGTATGACTGCCTGCCAAGATATTGATCTGGGTTCAATCCCCATCAGAGGTGAGATTTGTTCCCACTAGAATCGTAATGGGGTCAACCTAGTCTCATAAGATATTGAGAATTGTCTGGAAAGGTCAGATCATGAGATAGGACAGAGCTGTGGCAATGTATTGGCCAGATGCTCACTTGCCAGACCAAAAGTCTTGGGTCGAAATCTCCAGTGAGTTGAATTGTTTTTTTTTTTTTATTTGACCTGAACACCGAAGTTTACCCTACCTAAAATGGGTGCAGGTAAGGACCTGAAAAGTAGATGTGATGGGGAACAGTTCACCCACTGGGTGCCAGTTGGTTGATAAAAATACGAATATGGCATCTTATACCCGATGAGCACTGACGTAATAATGTTCCTGTACTTTTTTTTTACACTTTTAACTGAATATATATATATTTTTTTTTAAAAGCAAGTATTTTTGTAAAGGTTCTAAAATGCAAACAACATTGAACATTTGTTAATGTTTATTTAATTTTTTTTTAATTTTATATTCTTCTTTTCCTTTTGTCTTTTCTTTACTCCTGTAATGCCTTGTGGCATCAGGGCAGGAAGAGATCTTTGCAACAGGCCCCTTTGTTTCATATACTTTTCAATTTCTTAGATTTTTCTGTCATCCATTTCCTGAGTAGTTGACCTCTGGCTCTGTTACCGTTGAATCTGTATTTCACTGCTTTCTCTGGTGCCCTGTCTGATGCAAATCTTGTTACATAGCAAACCATTTGATTTGTTGTCTACCTATAAAATTCAGTATTCGTTCTGTGCCAACTTTCGTCTTGATATCATTGTTCCTAAGTCAAGTTGTATATTATAAGTGGGATATGCAGTTTTGTATTGTTTCATTATAAAAATGGATTCTTACTTGTGCTTTTGGTATTTCTGTTTCAAATAAACTGTCTTTCAGATCATCATGATAATAATAATGTGCTGCCCATCTAGGAATATATTTAATGACATAAATTTAATGATGCAAAGGGAGAGTTAAGTCACCTTGAGGTATGGTGTCCACCCCGAGTGTTGGAGGTCCCAGGTTCAAGCCCTGATAAAAGCTAGGATTTTTTCACGTGGACTTCATTTCCCCTGGTCTCTGGGTAGTAAGACAAGATGCCAGTGTGTTTTGTTAAGCACGTAAAAAAATCCCTTGGCAGTTGGAAGTTGAAAAGAGTAGCCTAACGGCGCTGCCCGGGAAAAATGTGGAGTTAAAAATCTACCCAAAGTATTTCAGGATCCTTGCCGGTGCAACAGAGTTTGTGCACTGTGCTGAGATTCTTCAGACTCAGGCTTGAGTTAGAAGTAGAACGCAGCACTTCTGGGTTACTATCCATTTGCCATGATGTTGATCCGTCAAATAAACATCAACATAAACATTCAATTACATTCATTAAATAAAACTTGAATTGCTAATAGTTTGCTCATCTTTACCAAGAATTGACAATACTTTGCTCATCTTTACCTAGAATTGCTAATACTTTGTTCATCTTTACCTAGAATTGCTAATACTTTGCTCATCTTTACCTAGAATTGCTAATACTTTGCTCATCCTTACCTAGGACAGTAGGTTAGGCCTGGTTTGTGTAACCGTTACGGGTGCTCTAGATATAAAATCTGTGAAGGTTGAACAAGATATCTGGGATCTGCCTTGTGGGTCTGCTGTCCAGACTGATATTTTTTAATTTCAGTATGGTATAGTAAAACTTTAGGTAGCAGCCGGGAGGGTATAACCTGGGTGATCGAAAGATAATACTACTTGGCTTTGCCGTATCTATCTCCTGTTTAGGAAGTTATTTTCTTGTGATCTACTTTTAATTTTCCCTTAATGTTCTCTAGGATTGTCTCTCTCTGATATGTTTTATATTGTTATTTGGCGTTCAGGACAGTTATCTCTTTTTAATGCATTATAAGTCACTCGAAACTGTAGTCTCAGTAATTTATACTGCAAGAAATTTTAAGTTCATTTCTTACTTGACATTCAGCATGTGTTATTCTTCTTCTTCACATTCTCTTTTATTGCTACATGTGTCAAGGGAGACTTAGGGTTCTGTTTCTTGCTCTTCTGGAAACACTGACCACAGACGTGTGCTGTTGTAGAGTTTCTCTGCCGTTATTTTTCCAAATTGTTCTTGGTCTACCTCATAACCTACGTCCTTCTTGTGTATTAGTGTATATCTTGTATGGTAGGGCCTTTTCTCTAAGGAAAAAAATATATGTCTGTCACAATAAGGTTACTTTTTGGGAACTTTTTATCAAATAAGTGAATGTGTGGTTCTTTTTTTTTTTTTTTCACTCCGACAGTAAAAAAACTTGAAATATCCCAGACTTTTCTTTCCAAGAAGTAATAGCTTGAGATCTTAAAATGTTTTAAACCCAGGGGTTGATGTTATGTATGACAGCATTTCTGACAAAACAACAGTATTTTAGTTTCAAATGGGTTACTTTTATCTCCTACTTTTCATTTTACTTGAATTTAAAAAAAAAAAGAATTTGCAAACTTACTTTGCTGTAGAAATTGTTTTTTTTCCCCGCTCATCTTTATTTTCAATGATTTATTGGGCCTTAAAAAGTGCCATAAATATCCATTTTATTTCTAAGGACAATTTGAGAGCTTACACTAGTGCAGTAATTATATTTTATATACCAGACTATTCACAATTTTTGCTGTCTCAATCCTGTTCTAGTTTATCTGCCAGAGCTGATCGAGATGGATAATTTAACAGGTCTGCTCAAGAAGCATGTTACACTTCTCTTAGCATGACTTTCCATGTGCAGTGTGAATTACTCTAACACATTACCAGTGTGTCATGCCAGTTAGTGTATCCAAAATTAAGGGTTATTATGTTTTTTTAACTTGTTGTTGCACAAAGAATTTGGGACTGGTCCTGATTATAATTTTGAAAACTGAATAATGTGGCTTTTTCTTGACTTAAATATCTAATTGTTTGAAGAGAATGTTTTATTGCGAAAAGATTAAAGAACATTCTTACTTCCTTTATATTATTTGCTAAGGTTTTCTTCCTGTTCATCTTGTTTACTTTTTGCCTTATCTCAATTTTAAAAATCACAGCTAAAGCTGATGAGTTGTTTCAAGATAATTTGTTTTTAATACACAGAAAAAGATTGTTTTTTCTTTATTGCTATGCTTTAAACATTTTTTTGAGACAAACATAGGGCAAATGAAATGCACTCAGCAAAGCTGTTGTTGTGAATACAGGCTTATCATTTACTTACATAAAAATTACACAAGTATTGTTTGTATATCTTACTTATAAAAACTTTCACAGCTCCCTCTGTGAAATCCAGCATACGTAGTTTCATTGTAATAGAACTAATAGTCTGATTTTGT